AATATGATTTCTCAATTAATATATTATACTTATAATATATTAATAAATCACAATAACCTCTTTCTCAAGTATTCATCGTAATTGTTCTAGAGTGTTACAACCCAAATGGACCATGCTGTATCGGGTCAAATACATACCAATTATAGTTATGAGCTTAGACACATAATCTAACAATAATATCTTTAAAATTCGCAAATTTTAATTTTAGAATCATGAAAAAGGAACGAATATTAAAACCATTATCCATTTCAATTCTAAAATCTAACTTCGAGTTTATTTACTAGGCTCGTCAAACCTAACGATACTATTTTGACTTATAATCGTAATAGAAGATGAAAACATAATTAGAAACATGGTTTGAATATTCTTAGAAGGCGACCTGCTAGTGGTTTATTTAACATTTGTTCTCATATTATTAAACACCCTCATATTTAAAAACAATAACTTTGAATTGATTAGTATATCAGATCTAATTTCTGCATTGACTCTTCAAAAACTTATTAAATATTTTTAAAATCTCATTAAAACTCTTAACTCATATTAAGAGTGTTTCAATAATAGACCAAATCGATCATTTGTAGTAGTAAAATACGAATTAAAAACGATTTTTTATGATTCTTTTATCTTCCCAATTCCTAATTACATATTGATGTTACTGTTGAGTATAATTCACATTAAACATGCCAATAACAACTATAAAAATGGCAAAACCAACTAAAAAGATTGGATTGATTGATATGTTTGTGATTTAACACTAATATTTGTTAATTTGGACTCGATACCATGTAATTTATTAAATATAATAATATTTTATGAACAACCTTATTTGTATATTTTTATTGTGTTTTCAGGTGATCCGGAGGTGGAAGTGAGCTTTGGGAGGTGTCGGGAAGGTTGGGTGAAGATATCGGGATGATCGGACACAAAATGGAAAAAGTCGGAAAATCAAGTTTATGCCTGTAAGCAGAGTCGAACACGAGGCGTTGCACTGAAAGCTGAACACGGGGGGTGTTTGACTAAGATGGAGCTGTTGACCTTGCTGAGCACTGCTCGTGTTGATTTACCCTATTTCAACACGGGTCGTGTTGGATTATTTCTGCATACATTGTACTTTGGAAGAAGACTCGAAGCTGACAAGCCATTTTATACACAACATAGGCCGTGTTGATTTACCTTATTTTGACACAGGCCGTGTTTCGTCCAATAACTGCCCTTTGTCAGTTATTTCCTTTTCACTATATCTCAGGATTGTGGGCAATTACACACACAAACTTCATTTTAGAGCACTTGGAGAAAGGGTGATTTCGAATATCATTACAAGGTTTCGATTGTAAACATTTGGAAACATTTGTGGTTAGATTTGTAAGTCTCGTTTGCTAATTATTTCATATTTTCTAAACTTAGTGATTGTTCTAGTCATATGCGACTAAAACCCTAGTTTCTCCAACTTTATATTTTGACTTCTTGGTTGTGAATTCAATCATATGACTTGATGTTTGCTTTTGATTCTATCTATTGGATTTGATTTTGCTTCAATCGAATGTGTGATTCTAATTTTGGCCGACTGCCATTTGAATTAGGGTTAGATCGTTCAAGTTATTTAATTGCAAATTCCGTAATTGTTTTGTGAATTGGACTAGGTAACAAGCACTAAACTGATTTCCATTGAATGAATTTAGTGTAAATCTTATTCAGACACTCTTACACTCCTGAGCTTGTGAGGAGTATTGGGTGTTGTTGGGAACATTCACATGAAACTTAATGCAACCATTTGATTTATATCTAAGAGCTTGTTTAGACTTAAATTAGAATGTTAAGTTACTTTCAAAGAACCTGTTTATAATTTGACAACTTGATGAATGGGAAGTGTTAGAGCTTGTTAACACTTTCAAGTACCAACTTAGGTAGAATTGAGTAAATATCATGTTATCTTTGAATCACATTGCTAAGTTGTCACACATAGAGTTAAAGTCCTTATAAATTATACATTTACTTTAACTGGTTAATCATTTACTCTTATATTATTCATTTATTTGAATTGTTGCATATAAACCCCCTTATTTCTTTTTGGTAACCAAAATACCTTACGCAAAAAGGTGGAGATGTTAACACTGTGTCTCTGTGGATCGACCATGCTTATCATGTACTACATTTTAGTGTAATATAGTGGTGTTCTTTTGGAGTATGTTGTACACCTATCATTTGTTGGGTTTGACCCTAACATGATACCACGTAATATCCATCTTTTTTTTTGTTTGAAAAAACCGAGTAAACTTGCTGCTATAAAAAATATTTAATAATAATTTCTGAACAAAATTAAAATTTATTAACCTTTTAAATCACTTCATCACTTATCCAAATATTTTAATAAATAATATAAAAACTCATAACAATATATTGGTAAAATGTATGTTTGTTGTTAGACTATTATATTAATGATATACAAAATTACACAAATGGTCACCGTAGTTTACTAAATGTTACAAACACAGTCACTTTTAATTTTTTATGAATATGACCCGGTTGTTTTTAAAACTTGCATGGTTGGTCATTGACAATGTAAAAAGAATTATTTAACCTTTTTATTTTCTTTTACCTTTATTTTTGTTTAAATGCAATTAAAAAAAACCCACCCTCACTCATTTCTCCATCATGTCTTTATGTTTTTCTATTATCCTCCTCAACTCCTCTATCCTGAATCTATGGCTTCTTTTTAAACCACCATCAAATCATCATATTCACTAGTCTTCAATAAACTCCTCTATCTTAAACTACCACCTACCAAGAAAAAAAACAGTTAAATTTTTTTTGATGTTAATTTCCTTCTCCATAACCCTAAATCATATCATCATCATGTAATTCCATCAAACTTGAAATCGACCGAGAACATGGTTAGGGGCTTCTTCTCATCGCTCACTAACCCCCCTGAAATAAACCCTAAAACCCCATCTCCTGAATCAAAACTTATTCCACAATATTCTATTGACTTTCCATTATCTTGATCTTCATGAGTCTCTTGCAACATTGCAATTTCACATATATGGTGAACAATCAACAAAAAAAATCAAGTTAAAAATGCTTGAAAATATGTTGACATTTGAGACGGCTCGGTTTGACGAAGAAGAAATGCAAATCGATTTGTTCTTAAAAAGCATAAATCAAAATCAAAATCAAAATAAAAAATTAGTTTTTTTATTTAGAGAATTAAAAGTTGATTTTTATTCAGAAATCAAAATTTTTTTTTCATTCACAATTTATAATTCTTATTCATTCAGAAATCATAAATCACTTACTTTAGTTACTTCTAATTTATGGTTTCACGAACATCTTGACGAACGGAATGACGAACCGAGTTAAAAATGATTTTCAAGGAGGTGAAGAACAGAAGAAGCGATTATCATTGTGTGTCTACATAATGAAGATGATGGTGGCGTTTGGTGGTGGTAATGAAATCACCACCACCATTACTGACATTAAGGGTTAATTTAGAATTATAGGTGGTGGCATTGTTGGTAGTTTATGGTGAGGACTGGTGGTGAAAATAAAGGGAAGCTAGGGTGGTTGCAATTGTGTGATGGACTAGGGGAGTCGACGGGTGAAAGGAAGTGAAATATGGGTGTTCATGGATGGCAATCAGTGGCCACCAAAGTCGAAGAAAGCAAAGATGGGGATGCATATTCTTCGATTGAGAGAGAAAGAGAACAAGGAGACTGATCTAGAGAGAGAACAAGAAGAAAGAAATGGGGGTGGGGGTAGGGGTGGATATGGTGTATTTGTGTTCTTATTATCAATTTAGTTTAAGAAAAAAGATAAAATTAATAAAAGACTAAGAAATAAATTTATGTAGCTTAGAGACGATTCGTGTAAGTTTCAAAAACCATAAAAGATTATTCATGCAAGTTTCGAAATCATGAGGACCATGACCATTCATATAAAAAAAATTAAAAGGGATTAAAATTATGACTTTTGGTAAATGGTAAGGACCATTTATATAATTTTATCTTAATGATTTCTATTTATTTGACTTTTTTAAAAGATTCAAGGAAAAGAGACGCATTAAAAAATGGGTGCACGTTTTGAAGTTTGAACTCCACGTATTTTTTACGTTCTGCTTCAATTCCAATTCTTTTGCCGCCCCCTCTTCTTCCTCTCTGCTTCATCCATGGTGTCGGCGATCTTCGCCTGAAACTCTATTCAAATCCTCACGCAGTGACGCTACTTCTTCATCTTCTTTACACAGCTTCATGAAGCAACCGATCGTTTAATCAATCATTTCTTTTGCTTAATTCGAAATCCGATAATCACGATTACCTCCGCCTTCGATTCAAGGTACGCAAAACTTTAACTTAATTTTACCTTCAACATCAGCGCTATTTTTTCATGTGATCATGATTTAGGTTTAATTCTGCTTTTTTTGGAATTTACTTTCATACCTAACTTGTTCTTTAACGATTAGGCGATTATGTATCTTCCATGTGACTTCTGTACTGGCTTATTTAAATTGTTATTATTTTCTAGTTCGTTTTACTTCAAGTGTATGGATTAAAGTGTGGTTTGCAAAAAATATTCGAGCAATTTTTATTTATTTATTTTTAACTTGAAAGCCGATGCTAACGCTTATCTCGCCTATGATTCCAGGTAGTCAAACTATCTTCTTTAATATACCTTTCATGATTATTACTTCTGTTTTAAGTTGCAATATCCTGTTCATCATCGTTCCCGTGATTACACTTCAAGTTTTTAATCTGCCTTTTTTACGATTGAATTCCATGCCTAACTTGTTCTTTACCGGTTAGGCAATTACTCTTTTTTTCACGTGACTTGTTAGATATAGGTAGTTGAGTTTCTATTATTTTCAACCTTTTGGGCTTATAAATTTATAGATTAAAGTGTGATTTTCCAAAAATAATCATATCTTTTAGTGACCCTACTGTATACTTTAATGTCCTTTGTCTATAAAGAAGGCAGCAGTGTTAATATATTATATTTAAAGAATTGATCGTTATCAACTTCTTTATGTATAGAATATTATATTCCTCTGTAGGGTCATTTCTTAACTTAAATGTATTCGAGTAAATGGCCTGATGTGTGTGGCGTGGTGTAAACCTTGTGAATATTTTGATGATCTGAACATAAATTGATTCTAGTGACATAACTTCCTGCTACCTGACCCTAGTGATGTCTTTTTCTATCTCCCTCAAATTACACTGTCATCAACCACTTTAAGAAGTAAGAACCCATGGTAGTATTGATTTTAGATGTTTATGCCACCATATACATTTAAACATTATTAATTTTTTATTTTCTGTGCATGTTTAGTGTATTTTAGCTGAGACTAATTCTAAGAAAGCTAATTGGAAAGTATTGGAGGGGTGGAACTCATCAAATGGAGAATTATGAAATACTAGAACAGATAGGAAAAGGCTCTTTTGCTTCTGCACTACTTGTGAGACATAAACATGAAAAGAAAAGGCAAGACTTTCTTTCTTTCCATTGGTTTAATCTTAATTTTCATAATTATTGATCTTTAGCAAAAGCAAAATAGGCTTTTATTGGTTAATGTATTGATTGCATTCCATTATTACCCTTTCAGGTATGTGTTGAAGAAGATTCGACTTGCCCGACAGTCTGATAGGACCCGCAGATCTGCCCTCCTTGAGGTTGTTATATATTTATATTATTTTCCATAATATTAATCAAACATGCATGATACATGATACATGATTCATGATTGCAGTTCCATTCTTTTTGTATGCAAAAACCTAATCTGATCATGTATTATGCAGATGGAACTTATTTCCACAGTGCAAAATCCTTTTATAGTGGAGTACAAAGATTCTTGGGTTGAAAAGGTTTGTCAGATAGACTTTTAGGGCTTGTCACATTATGTTTTTGAATTAGAGAAAAAGAAATTAACATCTTTTTCTATTGTAGGGTTGCTATGCATGTATTGTAATAGCATATTGTGAAGGAGGAGATATGTAAGTCATAATTTCAGAATTTCTCCCCCAACTTATGATCACTTACTATAATAATTTTTTTTTTTTTTATTATTTTGATGATTTGTTCATATAGGGCGGAAGCAATAAAAAAAGCCAACAGTGTTCATTTTCCAGAAGAGGTTTGTGTTTTTGTGTTTTTATTTCTTCATTTCAATTTTTCATGCTGACTGCTTTACTTAAAAATATGTGCAGAAGGTCTGTAAATGGCTTGTTCAATTACTAGTGGCACTTGATTATTTGCATGTTAATCATATTATTCATCGTGATGTCAAGGTTAGTGATATAAAATCTATCTAGTACAGTATTTACCGGTTATATATATATATATATATATATATATATATATATATATATATATATTAATATGATGCATTTCCATTTCACTTCAGTGTTCAAATATATTCTTAACCAGAGATCAAGATATCCGACTTGGTAATAATTAATCAATCATCTTCTACTCTTAACATCCTATATCTCCATATTAGTCTAAGTTTGCTTTTGTTCTTTTCAGGTGATTTTGGTCTTGCAAAAATGTTGATTTCTGAAGATCTTGCATCATCGGTATTTAATATTGACATATTTTTTTTATATATATTTTATGGGGTTTAACTTTATAAGTTTAACAAACGTTGTTTCTAATTTCAGGTTGTGGGGACTCCTAGCTACATGTGCCCTGAACTTCTTGCAGATATACCTTATGGGTCTAAATCAGATATATGGTCTTTAGGATGCTGTATGTATGAAATGACTGCATTCAAGCCTGCTTTTAAAGCTTTTGTACGTTAATCTAATCTAATCATGTGGTTTGGTTTTGTTAAATCAATACGTGAAACAAACAGTTAATAATCTCATTATTTTGGAACAGGACATGCAATCTCTCATCAATAAAATAAATAAATCTATAGTATCTCCACTCCCAACCATGTACTCTGGCACATTGTGAGTTACTAAAATTTTGCAATAAATTTAATTTTCGTTTCTGTTAGCAGCTTTTTTTCTATAACTTCATTAACTTCTAAATCATCTATTTCTAGTCGAGGGCTTATCAAGAGTATGCTGCGGAAAAACCCTGAAATGAGACCAAGTGTACGTAAAATCTAAATTTTCAAAGATGAGGAGAAGGGCATTTACGTCTTATTTTTCATTTTGTTATTGAATCTTTCTTATGTGGGATATAACTTTCAGGCTGCTGATTTGCTCAAACACCCACACCTTCAACCTTATGTACATAGCCTCCATCTTAATTCCAACAACCCTAGACGCCATACACTTCCAGTTCCAGTTCCAGTTCGTTTATCATCAGGTTACAACTACGAAAAGAGAACAACGTTCATTGAGCCTGAACCTAAAACTGTTCATCTTCACAATGAAAAAAGACGATCTTTCAGCAGTGACAGGGCTTTGAACCCTAGTATATCTGAATATGATCAGAATTCCTCTTACTCTCAGAATTCCCATAGAAAGCTATCCATTGGAAGTATCGAGGAATATATCCACACTGAGAAATTAGTTGCTGCTGCTAAGACATTAAATGGTGGCAGAACCCCGAGAGTCACTCCTGCTTCTACTCCCAGAAGACAAACTGTTGCACCCAAAATAATCAGAGGGACTTCAGATCGTGATTTGGTATGTTCTTTTTTTATTCACCAAATAACAGACAATCATCATCACAAATTTTTTAACCTAATTTTGTGTTCAGGTTCCAGTATCACAAACAGTAACACCGCGTAGACAATCATCATCATCACAAATAAGCCGAAGGACATCTCTACCCTTATCATCATCAGCAAGGTCCACAATAATATCCCACTTAGGTTTCGACTCTCCAGATGTATCCATGAACGCCCCACGGATCGACAAAATGACCGAAGAGCCCTTACCCTTGATCCGACCAGTCAACAGAGCGTCTTCAACATCCGCTCAATGTTCTTCCGGAACTTCCCCAACCAGAACCACCATCATGGACCGGTCAGTCACAATCGACAAGTGCACGGTGAAGACGGTGAACCCGATCCCGAGCCATGAGTTGTTGGCCGGTTCGAGCCGTTCGTCGTCGGATTCACGGGGGCAAGGGCAGAGGCGGAGGTTTGACACGTCATCGTATCAACAACGCGCGGAAGCGTTGGAAGGGTTGTTGGAGTTCAGTGCACAGTTGATGCAACAAGAAAGGATAGAGGAATTAGCGGTGTTGTTGAAGCCGTTTGGGATTGAGAAGGTGTCGCCTAGAGAAACCGCTATTTGGTTATCAAAAAGTTTCAAGGGAGCTGGAACTGGAACTGGAACCGGAGGCAGTGTTGTTGGTAATTTGTAATTTGTAATTTGTTTTTTGGATTTTTGTAATTGTGAAGATTGTAGTTGGAATGAGGCCAAGGTGATTATGAACGACTCGTTCATGGAAACAAGTTTCGGATTTTCTAACTTTTGTTCACTTCCGATCCCGTTGGTATTGGTGTGGATTATTCAAAACCGGATATCTGTATAGTTCACACCGATAACCGAATCCATATCCAAATTTTCAGTTAGGTTTTTTAGGTTTGTTTTTGAATCTCTTGTGGTGTGGGTGTGTTTAACGATGGTATACACTTATAGTTATAAAAAAATGCGGAGTCTAGTTGGATCCCTCTTGGGAGACGTTTACTCGACCAAAAAAGTTGGGTGGTTTTGGTGTTGGTGATCTTAGATCGATGAACATCGCACTCCTTGCAAAATGGTGGTGGAGATTTAGAGTGGAGCAAAATTTGTTTTGGTCCTCTTGTATTAGGGCATTGCATAATACTAGAGGAATTGATGGGATGTCTTTTGCGAGATGTGGGATACCGGGGCCTTGGGCCCTTGGCTGAACATTTATCAGATAAACGGGAGCTTGATGAATGGAATATTGGTCTTGATGATTTGTTTTGCAGGAAATTAGGAGATGAGAAACATACTCATTTTTGGAAAGAAAAATGGTGTGGAGATATAATTTTAAGAATTGAATTCCCGGAGTTGTATAAGATTGAAAGTGAAAAGAATTGCAAGGTCTCGGATAGGATTAATATTGGCAACGGTGTTGTTTTTCAAGGCATGTGGAAGAGATGTCCGAGAAGTGGTAAGGAGTCGGCTGAGTTAGAGAAGCTGTCAAATATGATGGCAGGTACAACTTTGTTTAGAAAGGCAGATTCATGAGAGTGGAAGGCTGGCGAGTCCAACATTTTCTCTGTTAAGTCTCTTAGAGATTTAATGGATAATAATTTGGATATCCATAATCATATGGTGGATTTTCTTTGGGTGAATTGGGTTCCAATTAAAGTGAATTGTTTCGTTTGGAGGTTGCTTTGCAATAGAATTCCAGTGGCTTGCAAGCTTGTGGAAAAAGGAATTTTGTTGGATTCTGTTACTTGTCACTTCTGCAAGAAAATAGAAGAATCAGTTGAGCATATTTTTATACAGTGCTCGTTCTCAACGAAGATATGGTCTTGATTTAGTAATTGGAGTGGTTTACTGCCTTGCATTCCCAATAATTGTGATGAGCTTAAAATTGTTTTGATTTCCTCGGGCATTGATAAGAAGAGACTGAATCTCAGGCTGATGTTAATATACTCTGTGTTGTGGAGTATTTGGAGAACTCGTAATGACTTGGTTTTTAAGAAGAAGAGATGCTCACTTCTCAAGGTGGCGGATGATATTTAAATCTTTGCGTTCAATTGGGTAAAGAATAGATCGAAGTTTAATTTGATCTCGTGGTTTAATTGGTGTATTTCTCCTTTATATGTTTGTAATTTGTAACTCTTTTTTGTGCTAGCGTCTTGCTAGTTTATAATGCATTTGCCGTTAAAAAAAAATTGGATCCCTCTCTCTCTTCTTTTTCTTTATTTGGTATAAAATACATGTCAATTAGGAAAATAAAAGTATGAATTAAGCTTCACCTGCCGACATCCATGGTTTAGTCATCAGTGGACCCTGGACGTCTAGACAACTGCAAGGTGCATGACTGAGAAAAGCTCAGAAACGGTGTTGCATACCGAGTATTGCATGCTTACAGTAATAAAAATTAAACCAATATTATATTTTTTATAGACAGTGGGCTGAGGCCCGCTTCCAATTGATTTCAATTAATAATAGGGTTGTAATCAGATTTTAAATTTTGATTTGCTTTTGAAGGCAACATTATTATATTTATATATAATAAAAAGGTAACCAGATTTTAAATTTTAGACCACAGTATTGTATGTTAACAGCTCTGGTCCTCTTATATAGATAAAAATACAAAGTTGTTTTCATAATTTACAGAAAAAGTATTGTTTTTTTTTTTTAATACCGAAACGGTCTTTATTTAAATAGTATAATACATTCGTATGTTGTCAGGTTGATCCCTTTATAAAAAATAAATTACAAAACTATCCCTGTAATTTACAAAAAAAGTCCCTATGTAGATTTTTTTTTACAGCAAATGAGACATGTGTTTAAAAAAGTTAGAAAAATGGTACCTAATTGCTAGAAAATTTACAGATTACTTTCCTTGGAAAAACAATTGTGAATTACCGATGCATCCCTATAAAACAGGGAGGAAACAATTTCTAGGTATATAATAATTACTATAGACAAAACTGTAAAAATGGTTCTTGTGGTATGCATTTTTTTGGGGTTTTAGTCCAAACCACGACTTTTTGGCTTCGTGGTCATTTTGGACTAGTTTGTATGTGAAAATAGTCCTTCCAAAAATTGAAATGACGATAATACCCTTGGGGTATTTATTTTTTATTTTTCTTTCATTTTTTTAATTTAATATTTATTTATTTATTTTAACAATTAAAAAATAATAGAGGACCCACCTCTCTCTCTCTCGTTTTTTTTATTTTTCTTTCATTTTTTTTAAATTTAATATTTATTTATTTATTTTAATAATTAAAAAATAATAGAGGACCCACCTCTCTCTCTCACTCTCTCGTTTGTTCATGAACTCAGGTTTCTTAGATTAACCAGTTGAAGATACGTTCTTCATTCATCTATTCATCTTTTAGAAACAAAAATTCAAGGTTCAGTTTTAAAAGACACACATACACCCGAAAAACATATTCAATGCACAACACATCGATTCAACAAACTGCACACACTGATTTTACTTGTTATGAGTTTTCACACACTGATGAACTTAATACAACACACACGCACATGTTGATGAACCCAAATATCGAACACAAGACCGACCTGTTGCACCTACGATCAGACACATCACCCCATTCCTTCACCTTCATCTCCCAACAGTTCCCCACCCCTGTACAAACCACTTTTGGAATTGATTTTTTCAGATACAAAAGGGGAAACATCACCGGTATGACCTAAAATCAAAATAAAACCTATTGCAGAGCTGGTGAGTTCCCCACCCACATTGGTCAGTCTCCAATTAAAGAAGCACAATGTCTCAACACCTGTGCACCAGTAATGGCGTCATTACCTGCTCCTACTGAATGTCCTGGATTGAGCATCGTGTCCCATTCTCTGTTCAAGTTCAAAAAACATAACCAAAAACTTCTCCAATGAACACGAAATGGGTCGTAGTGGATTTGGGGTTTGTTTACAAGAGTCAAGTACACGATGAAACAAAAATTACAGTAAAAGGAATGGAAGCGGGAGCTATATTGATGAATTCCAAGCATAAATAGTTGTATTATCCAAAGTTCTTCATTGGCGCCTGATGGAGAGAAATCAGTGAGTTCATGTGAGGATTTAGGGCAAAGAAGGGAAGAAGCAGGCGTATTGGCGGCGATGAGGGGGAAAACGGGTTAGGGCAAAGAAGGGAAGGAGCAAGCAGGGATGGTGCGAGAGGAGGAAACAAACGGTAGTACGCACCCCCTTCCTTGCCTTGCAATCAATACAAAAATCGATACTTGGAAAATGAGGATAGTTCGATTGAGCAACAGAGGATTTCTTATTTGAACTGGATGTAGAAATCGTGAATTTCTTTTTTGTGTGCTTCTTATCACTAGATTCTTTATGAAAGAAGGGGAATATTGGTTATTGTTTAATTGGGTTTGTGTTTGTTGAGAGAGAGAGAGAGAGAGAGAGAGAGAGAGAGAGAGAGAGAGAGAGA